CACCACAAATTTCACTGTAATGCTTTACACAAAATATTTACTACCTAAAAAAACAAACTATACTAGAGTGCTTTCAAATAAATTTAATTTATTCTTAACTACCAAGTGGAATACAAACCTGTATCTTTTCCTTTTGTGTAATAGTTTAATAAAATTATTTGTTAGTTAATTGTTTTGGCCTTCGGGATAAAGGCCGCTTTTAGCAGTAAATGAGCATTTTTGCATGTCAAGTAGATATTTTTGCATATGCATTTGGTGGATAGCCTGATATTCTGAGATAGAACTATGAACAGGGAGATATAAGCAAATGCCAAAAAGATCAACATTCATAATTAAAACTGAAGAATTAAAAATATAACTCCTATTTTGGATTCCAATGTTTTCCACCCTTCATTCTCAGCTATTTAACTCAGAAAACCTAACATCTAATCTGCTGTTTAATTTCTGTACAAAATATGTTACCATAAATGTATTCTGATTCTTCATTCAGATATGAATATAGATGTGTAAACACTTGTTTTTAATAGTCCAGATGGAATTAACCAGATGGAGCAATTAAATATAAGCAGAGAAATTTTTAAAAAATGAAATAGTTTTATTTCTATAAAAGCACCATGGTAAATCTTAGCTTAATAAGAACTGTAAACCCTTGCAGCCTTTGTCAATTGCCTCAGTCTGTGAAGAAAAATTACTTGAAAATCTCTTATATTCTTAGAATATAATAGCAGAAAAATTCTTAGTACAAATTTCAATAAAAGAATTCCATTTGGTTCCTTAAATACCATTTAAAAATAAAAATCAGCATGAATACCAGTGATAGTATAGAACACAGGAAAATATATCAGCAACAAGGGAAATGAAGCAATGGTTATTTTATAAAACATCAAAATATAAAATAAAATACCTTCTATAAAAATGTTCTGGAATTTGATTTTTACTATCGAACATGCTATGTATGTATGTATGTATTATAAATTACCCATTTAATCTTGCTTGATATTCAGCCCTTTGTAATATCAAAGACCCCATCCATCAGGCAGCATGGGACGTTTCACAGGTGTTTCCTGGGCCCATTCTACTGTCTCAGAAATAAATTATATTTTGTACATCACCCTGTGGGAGATCTAATTTATTCAAAATATAATCATTCTTTATGTGAATGGACAAGGTATTTTGTTCAAGCTAGTCTCTGTTTCTTGTGTTTCATTCTAAACATGAAATAACTTCTAAAACTAAATATTTTAATAGGATAATGGAAATAATGCAAAGGGTCTATACTTAAAAAAACACTGTGAATATAGGTGATTATGCATTTTTCTGTAGATTAAAAAAAATCAATTAAAAAAAATGTTGGATCAAAATTCCATTCTAAAATAAATAATGGAGAGGATTTGTATTAATTAACATTTCTCCAATGAATTATTTGCTTTGTTCTTTTTTATTGGAACATTCAGTAACATATAACTAAAGAGATAAGTAGGTTTTTGTTTTTTTTCTTATCTCAAAGAATCTGATTTTGGAACAAAGCGAAAGAATGACTTTGGTGACAAATATAGGTTCCTAATGCTGTTCTTTGATCTGTTTCTGAAAGACAGGCTCTGTTAAGCTAGTGAGTGTACAGGGTCTTATTTTATCACTTTTTAAAAATTAATCTTCGTATAGTACTAAAATGCTTTTTCTGACTGATTTTAGAAATATTAAAATAATGACTAATAAAAGGCATCTTAACAAAAATAATGCTTTAATACTACATTGTGAGAATGTATTGCTATAATAGCACAAAATAATTGTTTGTAACTTCTTTTCTTGTCCCAAAGGTGTTTTTTCAAGAGGCAACTGGACTTTCTGGTTTTTCTTTGATTCCATTCCCCAGCATCCAGTCAGAACTGAAGAAGCTTCTTGGATGAGAAGTGAAATGTCTTTAAAGAAAAACCAGAAAGTCCAGTTGCCTCTTGAAAAAACACCTTTGGGACAACCATGACTGGATGATTGAGAATTTCCATAGGCTTCTTTTTTTTGTTACACCAATAACTTTGAATGTAAGAAGAAGAAGTAGGCATTTTCAATAATACGAATTTTTTTTAAAAAAAGGTTTTTGCTGCTCTGGAATACATAGCACCAAACGGATGCATTTGGGAAGCTCACAGGCATAGAGTGGGATCCTTTCTTTTACTATTGCTTCCCAGAATCCAGAATTTCATATATGCTACTTATGATCCAGAAGACAATATATTGTCATTTAGACAGGCCATAGTTATTTCCTTTTTCAGTGAATTTCTTTTTGTAAATTATCTAAAGGGATATCCATCACATCTGATAGCAGATAATTTTGTTTTTATACATTGTGCAAAAGAAAAAAAAAAGACATGTTTGCCTGAATGCCCTAAAGGCTCCATGTTCTAGGATTGTGAGATGGAAACCAAAAGTAATTTCTGTCTGAGCATTTGATCATTTCACATATTTCATAGCATGCCTGACCTGCCTCATCATCTTTCACTGAAAACACCAATTGCTATAGTCTTTTATCCTAAAATATTGGCTCTAGTTGTTTCAGTATTTAAATTTATCTTTTCTTTTTCTAGGTTAACCACTTTCTGGTGTGCAATATTGCAAAGTATGATTACTTTGCCAATTCATGTTATTACTTGGGTTGTTTTATTTTCCATTCATTTCCTAATAATTCCTGTTATAGGAATTTGTCCTATTTAAGCAGCCAAATATGGGATTGAAATTTCCATTGAGCTGTCAATCATTACTTCAAGATTCCTTTCTACTCAGTCATTCCCAAATCCAGTAAGATACCATAGGCAGTACCTTATGGAAAATATTTTTAAAATATATTTGTTGTTTCACTATAACCAATTCTAAAGCTAGCATTCCTCTGAAAAAGCTGTACCATAATTACATGTATAACCACCAATTGATATTTGCACATATTTGCGTCATTCTCATTTTTATCTAGTATCATTCATAAAAAGCTATTAAAACATATGGTTATTTTATTTAGCAGCCAATTAATGCTATAGATTACACCCCCCCATCTCATATACCATATTATTTGCTTTAATGGTAGTTTGTTTCTTCCTCATTTTATGCTTTCCTCCCTGTATTTACTGATGCTTCTGTTGATCAGAGATAGTGATAAAGCAGCAGAGAATACAAGACAGACACTCACAGAGAGGTATCCTAGCAACCTCACTGTGCTACAAATATGCTGTGTCCCCAAGTGGAAAATAGAAAAAGAATAGAAAGCATTCTGGTGAGCTTTGCTTCTATTATTGCAAAATCCGGCTTTTGAGTGATAGGTTTTGAGCCAAGGACGCAAAGAAAAAGGGATTGTGTGTATCTCTGTTGGGGTATATGTGAGAAATAAAGACATTTATTTTGCTTTCAATGAAATTTGTGAAAATAGGATTTTCATTAAACTTTCTTGCCAAAATTATGCTGGGCTGGGGTTATCTGGGTTAACTGTTTTCTGTGTCATTTCATTTATGTTATCTGATTTGTATAAAAGCTGAATTTTTTCAAGTTCAGGTTTTGGGAGTTCTTCACTTGCAGCACAAGGTTTAAAACTCTGTTTACAGACCTCCCATCAAGAGAACTCGTTTTGATAAATGTCTAAATCAACATTCCTGCTCTAAGGAAGCAGCTAGTCAGAGGAGAAAACAGCAGGTGTTCCATTAGGAGATTTAATTGATAGTCAATTATCCTTTTCCTTTAACAGCCAGATGACTTTGTAGGACACATTTGGTGCTACTATTGCACTGAGGCCTCATGAATATCTCAGTCTGAACATTCACACTGTTTTCTCTATGCAGACTGATCTTTTCTGGCCAGCCTCATTGCCTTTTACTTTCTTAGATTCAGCTTATCTTCATATTTTTAATACCTGGCACTAGTACCAAATACTTCTATGTTATTATATCAACAACTATCATTGTCCCATTACTTTACTCTGTATATAGTTCAACATATCACATTGTTGTGCAGAATGGGATAATTTGTGTTGGCCAACTCTCGATAGCCATTCATGGCCAACTTGCTGTGGGATAACTGGCTGTGGCCAAGTCGCCATGAGGCAAATTGCCACAGAAAATTCCATACAGGATAACTCAACATGATGTTATCTGTTACTATTTCTTCAACGTTATTTCCATTTTTGTCAATGACGTTGAGTTATCCCACATGAAATCACATTAAAATTTTCTACAGCAAGTTGTCCTATGGCAAGTTGGCTGTGGCAAATTGTTCTAGACCCCTGTTACGTGTGTACAGCAGGGCTACAATTTCCATTTGCTGAAGTATGTCCTATTTCTCATTAATTTTTTCCTATCTTCATATCGTTGATTGCTCCTTATACTGTCATGATGTGTACATTTTTGTGGCCTCATTGTGTCCTACTCCCACTGTATATCTGTAATTAGAACAATTATATTTTAGGTTCGGTTGTTTATATTATAATGGAAAATGCACTACTCCCACACAAAATATTATGGGCCTTTGTAGGAGGTGCAACTGGAATTTCAAATTCATATTGATGGAAACCACTTGTTTTTCAAAGTAACTTTCTTAGTTATAATCATACACTTTGTCCCAAATCCCAAATTAGTGCCAGTTATAAAGACACCTTCCCACCAAGAATCCCAGTCCGTCTTATTTTGAGATGGGTACTTAGTTGCTGCTCTTAGCAGCAGGAAGTATGATTATTTTTTCCTATAGTAATAGAAATCATAATGTTCCATTGTGAATTGAGTTATATTCCCCACTTTTAGCCTTATAATTAGAACACTGTAGCCTTGTTGCGAAGAAGTAACATATCTACTTTCATTTGAAATCTGCTGGCAGTTCTTTGTAAGACCAAGTGACTACTTTGCTGATAATCAGTACACAATAGCTCCTACTTTTCTTAGTCCCTCCTATGTCTTGTTAGAGTAGTTTTTCACCTAGAATGTTAACCTTAACAGTACCTCTTTTTGTTATTTATTTTTATTAACCTACAGGTGCCTACAAAGAAACTGAAGAAATATGAGAGAGAATATCAAATGATGAGGGAGAATCAGCTGCAGCAGGAAGACCCTTTGGATCGATACAAGGTAATGAATGGGTTGCCATGTGCTCAGATACTTTCCATTAGAACAGAAAGAGATTGCCTTTGCAAGCTGAAAGGAGAGTTCTGGCCAGTGAGTTCACAGTGCCTTTTGTGGCACATTTCAAGAGACTTATTTCAGATAGTTTATTGTTAAATTTTATATTTTACTTGAAGCCATTAAATTTATTTTATTTAAGAACAACATATAATGTTTTTGTTTTCTCAGTTTATATGTTTGTAGGTTATACTTCTGGGAAACTGCATGGGATGCTGAAAAAGAATGAGGGATTCTCTTCTACTGACATGCAAAGGAGGCAAAGAATTATGTGTTAGACAAAGTTATGTGTGGTTCATTAACTTAGACACATTTTGAAAGGCAAATGCTTCCAAAATTGACTGGCTGCACTGAATGAATGACTTTTTCCTCTATGGTGCAAATACTCTTGGTGATTTTGTAATATTTATAACACTCTCAATCTCATAGACTGAGACACAGGTGGTGAAATAATTCATTTTATTGAACCACATTTCGATGTTATGTTGCTTTCAAGCAAGAACAAAACAGAATTCCTTAGTAAAGTGGAACTCTAGTTTTATCCATTTTGTTACATTTTTGCTCTGAATTCTCATAACTAGTTGCATGGAATAAAATGGCAACCTGAAATGGAAGTTTGAATAATATTTCTACCACTAACCTGTTCTTCCACTCAGTTGGCATATGTTATATATTCATTCATTCATTCATTCATTCATTCATTCATATATATATATATATGTATGTATGTATGTATGTATGTGTATATGTATATATATATGAATGATACTTCTAGCCTACCTTACAGGGATGTTGTAAGGATTATTGAGGTAATGTATTTGAACCACTGAGTTGTTGAAATGGGTTTTATTAAGTATTAGGACTGAACAATTGCACTGTGTAAAATTACTAATAGGTCAAATAACTTTCATGTTTCTTGAACTTTTGTAAGTATTGTTACACGTGATATCTATTTGGGGCTTAGACTGGTAGACATTTTTTTAAGAAATATCCAAATTTATACCAATTCTTTTTAAACAAGATAAACCAAATGTTGAGTAATCTGGAAAATAATTGGATTTTTAATTATTATACTGCATTGATCTAAACCAAATTTGAATTCTAGCTTAAAATAATGTGTATATGATGTTCACGTTACATAATGTAAATTTATATAATTTTAAGGTTTAGATCTGCATCCACATATAACTTAGTTTTTTGTCCCTCAAATTGAACGTTGATGTATTGAGGCCCTGTAACTGTTGAATTCTGTGAGAGTGAGATTCTATATAGAATGAAAAGGAAAAGGAGGAATGAATTAAGAATTGAAGATTTAAAATTGTGACTTCAAACATTCAGGGTTAAATATATTCTATATTCTACATTCTATATTCAAAAGAATGATTCATTGTTTTAGCCAAGGCATTCAAATATGACAATGTTGCAATTCTGAAACCAAATTATTTTCTTTTAAAATATTTGATTTTAGACTCTTATTGATGGCAAGAGGCTTGCTAGCAGTTATATAAGATAGCTGATTTCAAGGACTACCAAGGTGGAAGGCATCACCCCCACTTTCAACAAGTATTAGATCTTTTTGATTTTATCTTTCAAATAGTTAGAATTATCTGTCCATGGCTACGGGCTGATATTAAAGTTCTGTACTACAGATTATATCACGACTGCCTCAAAACAAAAGTCAGATCAACATGCAGCTACAGTATGTTGTTGGGCTGTTGAGGATTTGGGAGAGATCCATGGTTGCCATGGTATCCACAACCTCCTGAGCTGTCCTGGACTCAATGCCACCACTCAGCAGATTGAAAATCCACCAGTATTCATAGCTTTGGGGACTTTATTGCCAGTTTGGCAGCAGAATCTAGCAACTTGGGCAGGGATGATGTCCTAGCAGCAGGGAGGGCAGCTCTGGACCTAGCTCTGTGGCCTCTATTTCAATGAGAGGATAAATTGTTGATTTTTAAGATAGCACTTGGCTGGACCTCTGGCATGAAGGGACAGGCTGAATTCATCCAAAGGAATGCAATTCAGTGGAATTTCAAATGAATTTGGCTTGGTTTTTTTTTTTTTTTAAAAAAGGACATCATTGGTGTTTTTTACTGCAGGAAATATCTTTTTTTCCATTTTTAAAAGCTTTGCCAATTCAGAATGAATATATTATTATTTGTGATATTTACTCAACTGGTACTTAATTCACATTACCTCATGGTCCGCAAAAAGTCCTGGTCTGCAAATCAACATAATTGTATTCTTACCATTTCTCTCAACATTCATTGTATCTGTAGTACCAACTCTGGTTTTCTTGTGCTTCAGCAAATCAAATATCTCTTCTAATATGATGGCTACACAGTGAAAGACAGCACAGCTTGCTCTTTAGAAGTCTTTTGTAGCTTGAGAATATATAGATTTTACTCAGGGACCAGTCAGAGAGTTCAGTCAGTGGCAATTCTAAACAATGAGTCGTCCTTGCATAGCTTCAGTCTTGTCAACACTGAAATGGAATTGAGATTGAGTGGCTCTACACACTGGCTCTTTTCAATCCGTCTCATCCACTGACATTCGTTAAGTGGGAGAGTCCAGATTATTAGTGGAAGTAGAAAGAAATAATTCTGCTCACAACTATTTCCTTGATGTTGTTAGGATTCAGTATAATCAAGTGAAACCTGTTGCCTGCTCCCCAAAAGCAACTTTGGAGAACCAAACAGGAGGAATTTGGAAATGGAGGAAAAATATCTCCTCATTGTTACTTAAGGATTAAAGGATGATCAAAAGAGATGTTTCTCAGTATCGAAGACTGCTTCATTCAAAGAATGTTGGATACATTTATGATACTGCGAATCCTTTTGTTAACTGCAAAAATATTAAGGACTCAGTGTGCTGCATGTATTCATGCTTACTCACTGATTATGCTAAAAAAAAGCCCGCTGTTTCCTGACTGATAATATATTCACAACAAATACGTACAGCCTTGTTATAGCTTTTTATTACCCGTCTCTCTTTATAGAATTATTTATAGGTTAGAATTCTTTAATATATATATATATGTGTGTGTGTGTGTGTGTGTGTGTGTGTGTGTATGTATACGTATACATACATATATACATCTCTCTCTCTCTCTCTCTCTCTCTCTCTCTCTCTCTCTCTCTCTCTATATATATATATATATATATATATATATATATATATAACATATATTATTTTATTCTATTCTAGCTGAGCATTACTCTTCTCTCTTGATGTATCACTGAATGAAAGAGTCCCTAGTTCCACACTGCCTTGTTGAATTCTTGCACTATGCCATTGGAAGAAAATATTAAGAAAAAATGTGAACACAAGCTTGTTTTCTTTACTTTTCTACATCATGAGACATTAAGAGAAAATAAGAATATTTAAATATATATTACTGATCCTAAGTAATAACAGGTGGCAGTTTGGAGGGTCTGTCACAGTTGTAGGAAAAACTCTTGTCAGAAATTGTGGAGAGATAATCATTATAGATTTACTGAACTGGATATAGAATAGAATAGAATAGAATAGAATAGAATAGAATAGAATAGAATAGAATAGAATAGAATA